TATGTACTTATGTATGCATATACGGATATACAAATAGGAAAAAGTTTATATAAGGTTGCAACCTTACCTCTACAGCGACGGATGCACCTCAAAAATCCATCGGAAAAGATAGTTTTAATATTGAAAAACCCTTTGATTGATCATCTCGACATCGAGATGTATGACCATGAAAAAAATAAGATTTTAAGTCTCAGAAATAGTGTATTTTACAACATATTATCTACACCGTCCATTTTCAAGAGTTTCATAAGTTTATAGATCTACTTGATTTTAACCATTTTTTAAATTTAAAATTTTATAATTAAATATAGAAATAGATTTTGAGATAACCCTAACAACATTTTACATCAAAATTATCTACCATGATAAAATTTGAAGGTGCACCTTACCTCTACAGCTACGGATGCATCCGTATGCCAACTGTACCCATACATATAATCCATTGAAGAGGTATTTAAACAATGTTAGAATGTATAAACCACTTTTTTATAGTGTGAAAATCCCATAAAAAATGAGAAAAATGAACTTGCAAGGCAATGATGAGAACCCGCATGAGTTTTTAGAGTGAACCAAGTAAGAACAGACAATTCAATAACATGAACCGCCTGGTTCTAAATAAATAAATAAATAAAAAGGCTGGTGGTCCAAACCAACTCGAGCAATTTCAAGTTCACTCACCAGTTTTCAACAACTGACACAAACCACAACCATGAAAATGGAAAACAATATGTTCAATAGGTGGCCATTAGCTAAAACATCATCCGAAAGCAAAACAAACAGCATGAAATCAAAGGCGTTGAGTTCAAAATTCAAGAACTTCTGAAATTCCCCAGGGATCGAGATCCCTGCAGACTAAGACCACACCCTCATTTTGATGGGGTCACAATCTTCCTTACCTATAACTAAATATCCCTTTTAATCAGGGATAGAGATCCATATTATTTAGAGATCAAGATCCCTATAAGACGAGAATCGATATTCCTTAATTAGCGGAGAGCAAGCTCTACGATCACTGGAGAGAGATTCTGAGAGGGAATTGAGACCCCACAACCAAGTTCCCCACATCTATGGCAAAGACCATGTAATTGCCTTGTTTTCATTCTAATTTGGCTTGAGAAGCCCATTAATTAGTGTTTGGATGTCCATCCATCAAGCAAGGACGAAAAGTTTTTAACTTAGTAAATTCTAGTTCGAGGAAATTCCAGGTGGTATGCCCATGGAGAATATACAGTTCCAGTCAATTTAAGAAAACGAAGGGGGGGCGGGGGGCGGGGGGCGGGGGGGTAAGGAATATGTTCAGGTACATCAATACAATAGTGATCTTTGCATATCTCTATTGAGCTGCAAGAAGAACCATTGAAATATGGAATGTGACGGTGCATGACCAAGCAATGTTATCGTGATATAGAGACTACTTCAATGGTTAGTTCAAATAAGCAATGAGGAAATGTTAAAAAATGAGGATGAAATTACTGGAGTATTCCCAAGATTGAACCAGGTGCAAAGCACATCATAGTTACAAAAGTTGAGAGCCTGAAAGCATAATCAAAATGAATAATGAACATAATGATGAATAGAACATTGTACTCAGGGCCTAGTCTTTGCTAAGCAGGAACATAAGACTTTAAGTGCTTTGACCAACTTTGCTCTAGGTCTCCAGGGCGTAAGGCATATAATAGAGCTTAGATACCCCCTCTAACATTAAACCCCAAAAGTAAATGTGTTCCTATAGGGTGGGGCCCTTCATTTCACGAATTTTTGTTTGAACTTGAGGAAACCTATCATAAGAAGAATACTGGTTCTCATTAACTGATTAAATAAGGGTAGGAACTTGCTACAATAGGGAGATATGAGTTCTCATTATCCCGGGCACAAAGGCAATAGCACACTGAAGCAAAAATATATAGAAATGGACACCCACTATATAAAGAAACATACCAAGTTAGAACATGAAAACTCAAAAAACAGGAGAGACTGATTCCCATTAACTAATTAGATGATTACATGAGGGTAGGTGTGTATCCCATATATAAAACTCATCAAGGAAACAAAACGGCAAGTATCTCTGCACAATTATCCATGTGCATGGAGACCCATTATAAAAAGAAATACATACACCTATCAGCAACAATTTTCACCATAATCGTCCTCTATTTTGGCTAATACATTTGAAAATCTCCCTCTCCAAAAATAAGGGAAAAAAGGACTAGAAAACATTGAGCTCAAATTATTAACTTGGTTGAAGATGATCAATCTTTTTTCTTGAAATATTCGTTTTTGAAGAAAATTTGTTACAAGCACAAAGAAACAAATCCTTGCAAACATTATAGAAACCCAAGGAAAAGATCCAGGAATTGTACAGAAAGATATAAACCATCTAAAAGAATTCTTAAAATAAAGAACTAATCAAGCCGAACCATGACAGTCACCCAAAAGAAAAACCAATATGCCTGAGTTCCCTCAAAGCGGAATTCATCAAGATTTTCAAAATCCAAATGTACCTATTCAAAACAAAAAGGTCAAATCTATGCTAATGGTAGTCAATGTTCAACAAACATGCAAAATTGAGAAGAACAGGTGCTGGTATGGGTGTTGATACATTTTCAACACTACTGCTGCACCCAAAGAGAAATTGAGGTACTATAAATTCAAGGGAGAACATTTGGTCAGTCCGAGGGCAGAATGCTCCAGTGGTCCGCCCTCCCCTATTTTGGGGCCTTAAGGACATCAGTTTCACCCCAAATTTGGCATGCATATTCTCTTAGACCCTGCAAAGAAGCCCATGAAATATTTCAAAAAAGGACACCTGAAAATAATGGCTTTTCTGAACTCAACGAGCACATAGTGATGATCATTTCATGGCTACTAAATCTACCACTTCAAAATCAAATACTCATTTTATTCTTATATTTTTCATCTGCTGATAATGAGGCAATCTACAAAACTTTGAGACAAACAACTCCCCCAAAGCCTCAACATGACCCCCTCTTCTCCTTTCTAAAATGGATGGCCCATATTCACTGCATTTTCTCTCTCAGAAAAAAAATTGCTACAAGATTTTTTCTTAAATTGTTTCACAATCTTCTTTGCCTGATCCAATAGAATATGCATGCCAAATTTGGGGTGAAACAAATGTCTCTAGGGCCCCCAAAATGGGGGAGAGTGGATACTTTAGCAGTCTGCCCTCGGGCAGACGAACTGTTTTCCAAATGATCCCTCTAGAAAATAGAATAGCAGCATACTTATGAGCGCTACTACATTGCCAGATTTTGGTATTGCACCAATTCAGATTTTCCTTTCAGTAACAAGGTGGCGACAAACATACTGTGAGATGAATCGAAAGGGCACCAATGGTAGTCTTGGTTTAATGGTGCAAATAAAAATCATAATGGAGGGGTTTGAGTAGAATCAAGCACATGGCATCTAGATATATGGATTTGAGATCACCATATGACCATTGGACTCAAAAACAAATGAATATTCTGAACACATCTTCTTAAATTATCCAAATTACTGATACCAAAACCTTGCTATCAGAAACTATATTCCACAAGATCACTAACAAATATCTCATAAGAGAGAACCCATATTGTACAACCAATTCATCTTTTTTTTTTATTTCACTTTTTTTATATAACCTATAATCAACTCATGTTCAACAACCACTGACATGGTGTGTTAGACAACACTAAAAAGTTATAGATCCAAAAGTCCAGCAGAAGCCTTAAGTTTGGGCAAAGTGCATCCTAGAATTAAAAAACATTTGGCAAAGCCTGTGAGATAAAGTTTGTGATTGAAATCTTAATTCTCCCTTAAAAAATTGAACCAAAAACTTTCCCAATCTTATGCTCATTTATATGAAAAGGAAAGGACTAACATCCACCATTCCAAGAATCTAACTAAATGTGGGCTTGCCCCATCTGGCAATTCCACTCCAAATAATGCAAGATTTGGAGTAGTACTCCAACAATTCATGGACGTCATTAATCAAACATAGAGAATATTGTTATCTTTTCTTTTTATAATTAATAGAATATTCTTCTTAATACTGAAGAACTTTCAACATCTAGTTTCTGATGATATTATGTAGCCATGATATAAATGCAACATTGCCTGTAACATAGGTCTCACCACTGATGATGAACAGCTTTCGTTCCCTTTCTTGCGTGATATGTAATGGCCAACTTGCTTCTACCTTGTTCTGAAATCTGAGGTAAAACTCTCTACTTTGAATGTAACAAAACGTGTCATTGAGATACAAAAGTTGGAAACCTATGAATCTAGTGAAGAAAACGATGAAAATGTTCATAGGAAAATTTTGCTGCAGAAAAACCATTATTGTCAAAACACTGAATAATGGACAGTAATCCATTGTTTACGTCATGGAAAAGATACACACTTTCCATAAGCAATCATATCCACAACAAAACAAAAGAAAAGAAAAGAAAAGAAAGGAAAAGAAAAGTTTTACAAGGTCAGTAACTCAAAGAGCCTCAAAGTCAACAGGAAACCATCTGTGATACTCTCAATCATTTTTCAGACTTGGAGAAAAAACAGCACGTCAGGAGAGTAAATTTGCAAAAGTACCATCACTAAATATTACGACCAGAGAGTAAATATAACCACAGATTCAAAGAAGTTCATGAAATATCCATAAGTATCATCAACATCCAAGCCTTATCCCAATTAACTGGGGTGACCTAGACATATCCATAAGGATATTCATCATAAATAAGCACAGGACTTTAAGTCATCTTATCAAAAACTACCATTCAATATCAACAACTGACACACATTTTCAGAAAGTAATAGAAGTCAGGCAGTAGTGGTAGGAAGTAGGCCACCTAAAGAAGGAAATAAAAATACCACATCCAAAGTTTAGTTGATGCTATTTGGTGGAGATTGGTGTTGGGAAGTGGTGATGGGGAGTTACCATGCGGACTGTCCGCATGCTAACCGCCTCCTTTAGAAAAACGTATAAAAGAAAGATGGAAACAAACCTTGTTTGCAGAAGGGCATGTTGGAACTTCGATACTAAGTGCACAATCCTTGGGGAAAACTCCCTTCTCGATATCACGTAGGGCTGCATGTATTAATGGTAAGCAAACATTAACTGCTTCCTTGAAATCACTTTCCTGACTTTCATCTTTCTTCCTACCAAGCAATACATCAAACCAGTAAGGAACAGCCAACAGACTTCTGGGGACAACATACAAGCATAATCAAATAAGAAAAAACTTGAATTCACCAGTTCAATGAAATCGCTAAGGAAGGTACACCACTTATTAGAGCCTCTCTAGCACCAGCAACTGCGCCAGAGTAGAAGCTGAACAAAACCAAAGTAGTTATAATATTAGAAAGAAGCCCACTGAAACAAAATTGAAATGAGTGATGCTGCATAGGTGAAGAATAGCATCAAATGGAACTCCCATTGATTTTCAACATCAATTATGCTTCTAGATAGATTGGAGTAGATCATCAATTTAACATAAAACATCAACGGGAAGATATATTTGATTATCTTTTAGCATTTTGAGTCATCATCGATCTTTTAGCACTTTCATGTCATCATGCCATAAGACCACATGAAAAATATAAAAGAAACAAACTAGCAGGCTAATACTCACATGTGATGACCACAGCTTGAACCCTTATTGACTCCACTGATTACCTGCAAAATAGGTTTAATCATAACAATGCCCCTTTCACATTTAGACTAGATGTTTGAAACTATCAAAATCTTGCATTTGAAAGGCTTACCAAAACTGGCTTGGACCAAGAAAATAGTGCACCTGATAAAGCTAAAGAAATGCAATCTGCAGGGGTTCCTGTAGTGATTGATCGTAAGTTTCGAGGTTCGCAAATCATAAAAATATAAGCTGCTTTCCAGTAACTAGCACTCAAGAAATGAAAAGAAATCAACATGAAAATACAAGAGAAACTCATGCAAGTCTTTTACGGTTCTAATATACAGATATCCATTGAAAACCCCATCTCAAATAACTGTTTGCAATCATAAACCAGGTGTCCAGAACAGAGCTGAAGTTTTCTTGTCCTAAATAGTTTCTGAAATCAAGGTAAGAATGAAAGGGAAATTATTCATGTCAATGCATTTCCACACAGAAATGTTCAATTAGAAAGAGGAACGAGACAAATTCAACTTTTTAGGAAAGATTATTATACAAAATTCACAAGTCTAACTTAGCCATAACAAATGATATCACAGAAGAGAGAGAAAGAGAGATAGAGAGAGAGAGTTATTGATGAGTAGTTTTCACACCAGAGACTTCAAAAGCGGTGGCCCCATTGATTTCCACAGAGCTGACTGTAAGCGTTTCCCGAAGCGTCACAGAATGGCCAGAAACAGATTTATCCCTGAACAGAGAGAGAGAGAGAGGATGAGAGAGAAAACAAGAAGAAGAGATATGTTTCTTGAGAAGAACACCAAAGAGAGAAGATAACCAAGAAACAGAGGCAAATTAATGGGGAATTCTCAACATGGGGGGCTCAAAAAACTCACGATTCAGGAGCACAGACATGAACACTGCATCGGCCCCCAAGAACCAGAGCTTCCACAAGGGAAGTGAGACCCGGGGCCCCAATCCCATCACCATTAGTGACAAGAACGATGGGTTTTGACCCCAATTTCTCAGACTCCCCAACCTCCTCCTCCATTGAAGCACTCTCACCTTCCACTGCGGCAGAACCCTCACCCCCACCTTTCCTGCTCATCAAAACGTCCTGCAAATTTGAAACCAGCGTCGGAGGCAAATAACTGTTCTTCACAGAAGTCATCTCTTGTAGCAAAACACCTCTCTCTCTCTCTCTCTCTAAATATTTCTCTATCTCTCTCTTCCCCAACTCTATCTCTCTTTCCTCTAACAAAATCCGACGACCCAATCGCGTTTTCGGACAAAATTTTCACTCTCTCTCTCTAGAATTTTCACTCTCTCTCTAAAATTCACTTTCTCTCTCTAAAATTTCCACGCTCTCTCCCTATCTCTGTCTATTGGATTAACAAAGCTTCTTGACAAAAATATTAACAAAACTTTTTAATCTCTCTCTGGAAATGGTCAGTGTAAGAGGAACCCACAGAGAAAAGCCCAAAAACATAAACAACAATGCATGTGTAGAGAGAGAAAGAGAGCAGAGAGGAGAGAGAGAGGAAGTTTAATTTGGGGAGCTATTCTTAAGGGATCCCCTTTACAAGTGTGAAGGCAAGAGATGAGTAAAATAAGGTGGAGAAATTAATAAATAAAAGCTTAGAGAGGGGAAAATAATAGTGAAAATCCTAGAGAGAGAGAATTTAATAGTGGATATCTTAGAGATATAAAAGGGGTCTAGGAGAGTGAGAGGAATCTTTGGGGTGAGTAATGATATTAAAAACAACAAATTTTTATTGATGGTGGCAAATTTTAGAGAGAGAGAGCATAAGAGAATGAGTGGAATATTGGGATAAAGTATAGGGGTTATAAACATTTGTGCAGAGGGGAGAATATTTGTTTGAGGGTTTTGATATATATACCAAACCCTGGGAAAGGGTGGAGGAAAGGGAGAAGAGAATGAGACTGAAAAAGTGGTCCAAGAAAAGGAGGGAGACTAAGACCATGATGAAAGTCACACTTTCATAGCCACCATTGATGTTGCTTCAATAGCTTTTTTATTTTATGACAATCTATGTTATTTCTTTGATAAAAGAAAGCCGGGATCATTTATAGCCATCAGATGAAAAATCAGACAGTTATTAGATGTATCAAAAAATTCAACAAAAAGGCTTTTTTTTTTTTACTGTAAGCATGGTGTGAAACAAATACGAGCCGTCCAATCTCAGCTATCGAATTACCCATGGCTATTAAATTTCACATCTAATGGTGATTGCCATTTTCTCTTGTACCTAAAATATTTTATGTTTCTCTTTTTTAAAATTATAAATTAGTGAATGTGGGGTTGCATGTCTCTTTTATACCATGCATTTTTTACATACATGCCTCCATGTAATATGTGTATTGGATAAGGGGGCAATCTCTCTCTCTCATGTCTTTATCCATGTTCTCGACGTGCTTTCCTCTCTCTCTCTCTTCTTTCTCTCTCTCATGGGTCCTAACTGAAAGGGATTTCCATTTTCCTCAAAAGTGTGAAGTGATGGAGACATGGCAGGGTCTTTTGCACATAGAAACCCAGTATGTGAAATAATAAAGTAGGCACCATCAATATTTTTGTTATACAATAAACTTTGGTAATAACTTTAGAAAAGGAAGGCAGGTTTGGTTCTGGTTTGGAGATTATTGGTAGAGGAAGTGGTCTCACAAATTTCTCATTTGAAGTGGGATTCTTTCTTTCCATAAACATAGAGATTTTTTGTTTTAATGGATCTTATAGTAGTTTTTGGCATAAGAACATAATTGCGAGTTCGGAGGAGTCTTTCAAAATTTAGATCAGTGGGGTGGATTGTCCATCTTATATATTCATGACATATTGATAGTCGTCAATCTGGATCGGACCGAATCAACAATCCAAAAATAAAAAAAATTAAGTAAAGATATCTTCCCATAACCAGTTTGGCACTGGTAGATTCCTGTCCAAATCAACTACTTCCAATATGGGTGGATAGGTTTTGAAGCACTAGTATGGAGTGTGTGAAAAAATTGGACAATTTCCTGTCAATGGTACACCCGCCAACCACTGGATTTCACATCTAGTGGTAAAAAATGATTGTGATGCAAGTGATATAATGACATACTTTTCCATTAAATTAGCTTTCACCATGTACCTCTAAAGGGAAGCGTTTAGGCATTTGGGGAAAATGAAATTGGGCATAATTGCCCGCTTGAGCCAATTTGAGTAATTTCAAATTACCATAACCCCCCTGCTTATGTGAAAGCTTAAAGGTTATACATGATGATGGCCTAAAAGAAATGACCTAATCAACAATCATGTAAACAAACTTAAATCATGAACAAAACCAATATTTGAAAAAAAAAAATTTTATGAAAAGTCTATGAAAGGCCAAAAATGGTTCAAACCTAATGATCTAGCATGTGAAGGTATTTTATACATAATTAGAAGGTGATTTTTTTTGAAAAAATGTTGGACAGGTTATAGGGTTACAAAGTCAATTCTTTCAAAAAGTTGAAAAGTAAAAGTGTTTGGGGCACATAGACAGGTAAGCCGGGCCACAAGAAATGATGCAACGTACAAAAGGCAAAACGAGGAGCCCATGTAAATTTCCACACACATTTAAGGGTGGACTTTAGCCAAAGGGTGTGGCTTGTACAAGGCATAAACTTCATACAATTCAAGTAAGGCATGTCTCTAAATTATGCTAAGTGTTGTGGTTCTAGTGCGACGGTTTAAAAAAATTTATTTCCATACTTAATCATGAAATTTAAAGTTTTAAATAATGTAGATACGAAAAGAGCACAAGCTTAATTGGTTAGTGCTTGACAAATTGCAAGGCTACATCGTAGGATCAATTCCTACCAAGAGTAGGGCCATCTCCCCACTAACTCACCTCAAAAAAAAAAAAAGGTGCAGAATGAGTATATCTATAAACACTTGAAAATATTGAAAATGTGGAAAAAAAAAATGCAGATTTGGTATATCTATAAACACTTGAAAATATTGAAAATAACAAGATGTACTATTTTCAAGATTTGAAATCTTTTTTTTTTTTTTCATCTCCATACATCACAAGATCAAGATGATCAATTAAAGGGTTTTTCAGTGTTAGAACAATTTTGTTTTAGCCAGTTTTAAAGGTGCACCTTATTTTTATAGTATAAGATTAGTATGTTATATGAACTCTTTGTGTCGGACTACATTTTTTTTCTTTTATGTAAAAGGAGCACTTGAATAATAAGTAAAAAATAAAAAAGAAGGAAAGAGGAAAAAGGGGGATTCCACCTTTCTATTGCCTTTACTTGGGAAATAAATCTCTAACTAAAAGGGGAAAAGTACAATATTTAAGTTCTTTCATTTTTGACAGAGCAGGAGAGGCTCAGACCTGACCTACAATCTAACTCCCGGGTTGAATGGCTTCAAGTCAGGAATTAAAAAGAAGTGGTTAAGAGTCACATAGGGCTATGCCCTAGTTATAAGTTGGACAACCACCCAAAACTACCACTCTTTGTGGTTTCCTGTACATCAATTGGCGTTGTCGGTGTGATTTAATTTGGAGATTTGGATCGCTACTGCCTAGCTTTGAAAAAAAGGGAGTGATTTAATTTTGAAGACTTAGGACTGGGAGCAGCAATATTATTAGGTTAGCTGGTGAGGGGTATGGTCCATTTGTTCGATCATTGATTGAGGTGGTTTTGATTTAATTTAAAGAATATAACTAAAATAAATAAATAATATTTTTAAAATATGAAATATATTATACAAAAAAAATCACATTGGTTCGGTAATTTTAGTGAAAATTGACATATTTGACCGACTGAAACTTCAAGCATTAGTTTTGAATAGTATTCGAATAGAACCAACTTTTACTACAAATTAGATAAGCCAAGGTACTAGTCGATAGTGGTCGGTTCAGTTTGGTATTGATAACTATGTTGTGTATTGTTAAGAACATTAAGAATCAGCCCTAAATCGCTCAGGGCTCCATTTTTAGTCAAGTGAGCTAACTTTGATGATTACCAAGTCGAACCATCGTACAAATTTAATAAAAGAAATAACTCCAAAGCCAAGGACATGGAGCAATTATAAGTCCCTTGATAAAATCAGCCCTCACCAATTTGTCATATGACTGAGTCAATCACCCTCTCAGCCTTGCGATTTCGATAGGAGATATTTAGTTCAAGTAGAATGTTATAAAAAGGCAAAGGAAATACTCAAAATGACATAAATAGAAGTAGCGAGAAGTGATATAGTGACTCACAGTCTAATTGAGGGTATAGCTATTGATAGAGCATAATAGTTAAACGAGATTTGTGTAACCGACCCCAAAGCTATAGAGCATAATAGCTAAACGGGTGTGTAGCCGACCGCAAGATAATTGAAATAAGACTCAATGATATCTTTTACTGCCTCCGTTTCTTTCTTTTTTTTTTTAACCGAGGAGTTAAACTCATGGAGGCATATTGATAGAGGGATAGATGGAGAACAAGAGGTATCGCCTTTGAAAAAAAAGAAGAAGGGATAGAGAAGAAGAGGGATGGCTTGAAATTTTTTGAGGGGGAGCACAATTAACTGTCGGCAGAGAGGTTCAAGTTTAGTAAAACGAAACATGTTTCCACTTCTTCCGCAATAATTTTTGCTAGTTTAACGGACGGATTTTACCCCTGCCCAGAAATGTGCAAACTCCAACAACATCAATCGTACAATTGCTATGGGGTTGGGGTCGTGGCTATAGCACTATTTGTATCCCAGCTATAGTTTAGGTTTTCATTTTCACTTAATACCTTCAAAAACCATTAACGATTTAAAAAATTTAAGCTTTCATTTTCACTTAATGCCTTCAAAAACCATTAACGATTTAAAAAACACGTAAGGGCTTATTATCCCTATTGATTTATCCAGAAAACCAAAAACAGGTAAAAGTGTTACTACGTTTTTTTCAACAAAAAATGTTGTGATCCATTTTAGAGTTACTAGATGAGAAAGAGAATAAAATTATATTTTGACTTCAATCTAATTGTTTAGAAATGGAAAAAGTTTATAAAAATTTTGTGATCCATTTTAGAGTTACTAGATGAGAAAGAGAATTAAATTATATTTTGAGTTCAATCTAATTATTTAGAAATGGAAAAAGTTTACATAAGGTTGAGGTCCTAAACAATCAAATTAAGACGCATTTAAAAAATCACTAAAAGAGATTGTTTTGATGTTGAAAAACCCTCAAATGGATCATCTCAATCTCGAGATGTATAGATGTGAATAAAAATTTGCATTTCAAGTTTGGAAAGTCATTTTGAAATGTGTTATCTAGGCTGTCAATTTTTAATATTTTCAAGGGTTTCTATATTTGCTTGATCTACATTATTTTTTAAGCTTTCAATTTTATAATTAGATATGAAAATAAACTTTCAAACCATCACAAAGATTTTTTCTATTGAAAAATAATCTTTGGACAATATTTAGAGGTATGTCTTACTTTGATTATACAAACCACACCTTTTAAAATTTGGATGGTATCTTTTCAACTCACAATATTATATTTTCAAGAACCATGTAGAGTGGATTTCTTTTTTTCTTTTTTTTTTTTCTTTTTTTGATGTTGGTTGCTAAGTAGATAAATTTATATCCCCAAATTGGATTCTAAAATTACTCCTAGATAAGGTTTTACCCAGGGGAGTTAATGAATATTACCATCCACATGGAACTTATCGCCTTTAAGATATTTTTTTTATTTTTTGTTTTTTTTTTAAGTCTCTCTCTTGAAGTTGATAATGGAATCATAAACCTCTTTCCCTCTTTTTTAAAGTGGGCGGTAGATTTCCAAATTTCTATTAGTATTTTTTGTTTTAAAAAAATACAGTGTATATTTCAAAAAGAAAATTGTTTCATCCGGTA